ACACGTCAAAGTCAACTGCACGCCCCTCAACATCAAAGGTGAGAACAGTAGGGCTAGCCATAGCGGCAGTAGCAGCAGTAGCAGCAGTGGCAGCAGTGGCAGCAGAAGTAGCAGTAGCAGCAGGAGCAGCGTAGGCAGGGCAGCGCGGCTCAGTATGGCGGCGCGGCTCGGCAGGGCGGCGCGGCTCGGTAGGGCGGCGCGGCTCGGTAGGGCGGCGCGGCTCGGCTGGGCGGCGCGGCTCGGTAGGGCGGCGCGGCTCGGCTGGGCGGCGCGGCTCGGCTCCTGGCGGCGCGGCGCGGCAGGGCGGCGCGGGTGCTTACCAGGGGCGGGTGCAGGGCAGGGTCGCAGCAGGCGGTTAGGTCAGGGCCGCGATAGGGGCGGTAGCAGGGCAGGGCCGTGAAAGGGCGGCTGCAGGGCAGGGCCGCGACAGGGCGGCAGCTGGGCAGGGCCGCGACAGGGCGGCAGCAGGGCAGGGCCGCAGTGGGCTGCGAAGGCAGGGCCGCGACAGGCGGCGAAGGGCCAGCGACGGGCGGCGACGGGCCGGCGACGGGCGGCGATGAGCCAGGACGGGCCGGCAACGGGCCGGGACGGGCCGGAACAGGCCAGTGACGGGCGGCGAAGGCAAGGCCGCGACAAGGCGGCTGCAGGGCAGGGCCGCGACTAGCGGCCGCGACGGGCCAGCGATGGGCGGTGACGGGCCGGGACGGGCCGGTGACAGGCCGGGACGGGCCGGGACGGGCCAGCGACGGGCGGCAAAGGCAGGGTCGCGACGGGCCAGCGAAGGCAGGGCGCGCTACGGCGCAGATGAGGCAGGCGCGAGGCGCGCTTCGGGCAGGGCAGGAAAAAAAAATCGTGGTGGGCCAAAAAAAAAAAACGTTCCCACGAGGGAACCTACTCAGAATACCATGTTAGAATAGTGAACGAATGAATGACTGAACTAGCAAGCAGGTGGGTACAAGTTGGAAACCTAAAAGTGTTGTACCCTATATGAACTACCCCACTACAGTCTAGATAGACTAAAGCATATAAGTTTGACAATAGTACCGGGGGATGTGTCAATTCATATTTTCGCATACATTGTAGGCTAGGTTGGGTTACTATTTGGAGGGTACAGGTATGGTACTTATGAACCATGTATGCTCTGATATTACTCATTCTTCGTTTCTGACAACAAACACACGCGCACAGACATTCATATGCAATCACACACACACACACACACACACACACACACACACACACACACACACACACACACACACACACACACACACACACACACACACGCACACACACGCACACACACACACGCACACACACACACGCACACACACACATGCACACACACACACACGCACACACACATACAAACACACACACACACACATACGCACACACACGCACACGCACACACACGCACACGCACACACACGCACACACACGCACACACACACGCACACACACATACACGCACATGCACACGCACACGCACACGCACACGCACACACTCACACACACACACACACATACACACACACACACACACAGACTCAGACACAGACACAGACACACATACACACACACATATACACACACACATACACACCCACAGACACACATACACACACACATATACTCACACACATACACACCCACAGACACACACACACAATGATATGCGAGACGAGGTAAGCGAGCATGATGGCTTGAGACAGATGAAGAGTCAATACACTCACGATATATGGGAGAGAGAATCATGGAGCACGTATGTGGTAGTCTCATATACATATGAATATTATGCCAAGGTTCGTGCTTTGTTACTGTACTTTTCGTGTCTTTAATGCCAATCTTGTTAGAGTGTAAATTACACACAATCATTGGTTTGTGATTTCATAATGTAATGGGTGTAAAATTTATGAAAAATGATTGTTGCGCATTCTGAATTACGTAGGTTCCGATTGTATCGGTATTGCGAGTTAATATTACCGTATATGGTCACAATCATATGATGTTTATCACGTTTTGCCACCCGGGTAAAAAACTGCCACCGAAAAGGGGCGAATCCATCACGGATGATCGGCAGATCATCACGTTTGGTCACTCGTCTACCCACAACATTATCGCGTTCAGTAATTAGGTGAAATCATAACCGAAAAGCTGAAACAAACCAATATGTATATGTATATATATTCGCGTAGAACTATGAAAATGAAAAAAGGGCAAAAGGTTAGCAAAGAAATTTAGTAAATAGATAGTTACAAATTATTTGATATTAGACGAATATGCACTGTTTCATGAGTATGCTTACATTGTAATAAAGCATCCAAAAGTTGTGATCGAATAAGAACCCCCTGTCAAACTTATATATGCTAGTCTCTTTAGGCTGTAGTGGGGTAGTCCTTAGAGGGTACAACACTTTTTTGTTTGCTACTTGTACCCACCTGTTTCCTAGTTCATTCATTCCTCTCATTATTCTCACATGGTATAGAGCGGGTTCCCTAGTGGGACCGTTTCTTCCTAAGGGCCCACCACGTTAAAATTTTTTTTTTCCTAACCTGCCCGAAGCGCGCTTCGCGCTCTGCCCTGCCCTACGCTTTCGCGGCCCCTTAGCGGCCTGCCCTGCTCCTGAGGCCCGTCGCGGCCCCCCCGTTGCGGCCCCTTCGCGACCCCTTCGCGGCCCCTTAGCGGCCCCTTCGCGGCCCCTCATCGGCCCCTTCGCGGCCCCTTAGCGGCCCCTTCGCGGCCCCCCCTTATCGGCCCCTTCGCGGCCCCTTATCGGCCCCTTCGCGGCCCCTTAGCGGCCCCTTTGCGGCCCCTCATCGGCCCCTTCGTGGCCCCTTAGCGGCCCCTTCGCGCCCCCCCCTTATCGGCCCCTTCGCGGCCCCTTATCGGCCCCTTCGCGGCCCCTTATCGGCCCCTTCGCGGCCCCTCCGCGGCCCCTTCGCGGCCCCTTCGCGGCCCCGCCCCGTCGCCCGTGGCGGCCCCGCCCCGTCGCCACCCGGGTGTCGCCCCTGCCTCGTCGCGACGCCCCTGCGGGACCCGCGCGGTGTCGCCCCTGCTCGCGGCGTCGCCCCTGCCCGCGGCGTTGCCCCTGCCCGCGACGTCGCCCCTGCCCGCGGTGTCGCCCCTGTGCGCGGTGTCGCCCCTGCCCGCGACGTCGCCCCTGCCTCGTCGCCACCCCTGCAGCAGCTGCCGTCGCCGTCCCTGCTGCAGCAGCTGCCACCGTAGCGGCCCTGCTGCCGCTGACGAGCCTGCAGCCGCCCTGCCTGACGCGCCCCGGCCCAGCCCCACCAGTAGCGGCCCACCTCGTCCGCCACTGGTACGTGCACCACCGCACCTGCTTGCTGCTGCACCCGCGCCGCCCTGCCTAGCCGAGCCGCCCTGCCGAACCGCCCCGCCCTGCCGAGTCGCGCTGCTACTGCTGCTGCTGTAGCTAGGCCACTGCTGTTGCCTTGCACTGCTGCTACTCTTGCTACTGCTCCTACTGCTGCTACTCTTGCTACTGCTCCTACTGCTGCTATGGCTAGTCCTACCGTTCTCACCTTTGATACTGAGGGACGTGCAGTTGACTTTGACGTGTGGGTTGACGACCTACAGCTTTTTCTTCAGTGTGATTCTAGGGATGGGGTATCCCTTTTCGATCACACGTCCGGTGTTTCCACTGCTCCTGCTGCCACTGCTGACAGTACAGTTCGCTCGTAGTGGACCACTCGTGACGCCGTTGCTCGTCTTGCTGTTCGTAGTCACCTGCCGCCTGCTAAGCGCGCACATTTTGGCCAGTACAAGACAGCTCAGTCTTTGTACGACGCTGTAGTTGCACGCTACTCCTCCCCTGCCACTGCTGCCCTCAGCCGCCTCATGCTACATTATACTGCAGCACCTCCTCTCTTTAGCGGTGCGGCCGCCATCCCGTCATGATCTACTGTAGATTTGTTTGACCCATGTCCCACCCAGATTCACCACAGGTCAAGATTGGTGAAGGGTGTCGCCACTCGCTGTCCACGTCAAGGGTGTCCACTCGTTTGCACGAATCTTTCGCGCCCCAAACGACGAGGCTTCAGAAATCAGGGTGACTCTCAGAAAGAATCTCGTAATGTCTGGGTAAAGCACGCGATTTTCTACACTCCCAATTCCACCGTTACGATCTCTGAAATTTTGCTCCTTTGAATTCTAATGGTTCCAATTTTGATCGTTCTAGGCTAAGTAGGGGTTACTAATTATAAACCGGCGATGGTGTGTTTAGTGGCTTGCACTTCATTTTCAGGCAGGGTGACGTATATGGCAAGAGGCCATACCCCTCTGTTCCAGCTGCAGAATTGTACAGGTATTATTACCTCATATCATTTTTTAATTGCGAGCGCTGTAGGAGAACCCGATTTGCGTCGTGAGGGCGCAACCGAGACAGCTCCCTTCCCCGCTCCCAGATCTCTCCTGCCACAGTGTATTGATGGGATCGGGGGGGCGAGGAGGTCCAGCAAGGGGGGGAAAAGGGGGAGTGGGTTTTCGAAAGATGCAGTGCAAAGAAAGAAGGTTGCTTGAGATGGGATGAGATGGGGTTGGATGGGGGGAAATCAATCCTTATCTTGTTCACCCTGCTCTCACCTTCAAATGAATCATCTCCCCCCCTTTCCAGAGTTACATCCATGTTCAATTCCAGCTCAGACCTCCATTTCTCTCTGTTCCGAATCGTCATTCCGTCTCCTTGCCAGGTCAGAAGTTGCCATGCATGTACATAGCCGGTATCACGTCTTAGAATTCGGCGGCGGCGCAGTTCGGCCCCGACGTGATTCGCTCGTTCCAGGTTTCCATCCTTTACTGAGGCAGGCGAAATCTCCCCCCAGCTTACGCCAGGTTGCCCCTTATTCTTCTCCCAAAACATCAGCATATAAGGTTGATCCCGAATCTGCAAACCAAGTCAGTTTTCATTCTCGCCATCGAACTCACGACGCTCGCCCAGTCCATCAGCTATCGCCTCCCTCGCTCCTTTGTGCAACCACGCCATGGCTCGCGTCCTGCGTCTCTCCCTCGCGCTCCTCGCGCTTCTCGCCATCGTGGGCGCCGCCAATGCCAGTGGCGTCAGCTACAGCCAGATGAGGGTGAGTGTACTGGAATTTCATTACTGACTAAATGAGGGAAGAGACTTTGCAACGAGCCACCTTCGCTGGTTTCTTGCATTTCGTTTTTGAAAACTTCAAATCAACCAATCCGCGGACAGGAGATTAATTTCCAATCTTTGCACCTCTTTCAAACGTGCATGTTCTACACTATGGCAGGGTGAGTGCCAGACGGGCGAGAAGCAGTCGCCGATCAACATCGTGATGGGCGAGGCCAAGGAGGAGAGCGTGCCAGAGAAGTTCATGCTCGCGTACGACTCCGCCCCCACCACCGCCACCGTCATCAACAAGGGCTACACCGTTCGTAAGTGCTAACTGCCCGTTGCTTCGCCGAAAACGGGACTCGCTTCACTTTTGATGCGAAAGCAGAAATTCCAGTTCTGTCGTTCTCCATTTCATGATCTCCTTATCTTTATGTTGAGCCTCATCACTCCCTTCCTCGCTCGCTTTCCACAGAGGTGGCTCCCAACCCCGAGAAGAGCTACAAGCTGCACATTGGCAGCGACACTTACAACCTCCTGCAGGTACTACCACAGCAATCGTGTCATTTCTCCCCGTCATTACTGACACCTGCGATGAATTCACAATGCTAGGCAGTCCTGCCATACTCTTCACTGGATTCCACTTTTGATGCGAAAGCAGAAATTCCAGTTCTGTCGTTCTCCATTTCATGATCTCCTTATCTTAATGTCGAGCCTCATCACTCCCTTCCTCGCTCGCTTTCCACAGAGGTGGCTCCCAACCCCGAGACGAGCTACAAGCTGCACATCGGCAGCGGCACTTACAACCTCCTGCAGGTACTACCACAACAATCGTGTCATTTCTCCTTGTCATTACTGACATCTGCGATGAATTCGCAATGCTAGGCAGCCCTGCCATACTCTTCATTGGATTTTGTCGCATTTTCTCGCAGCACACGTCTCGAGAGCCGTCAACCCGAGCATAATACACTTTCTCGGAGCGCGTTTCACCTTAACACTCTGCCACATTCTTTCGTGTTTCGCGAACGTCGTCGCTGTACTCATTTGCTCATCTCCCTGATTTTGCCCGATTCTCCCCTCCGTACTACTACCACCTCATCCAGATGCACGTGCACTCGTTCTTCGAGCACGCGGTTAACGGGCTCTTCTCGCCCATAGAGGCGCACTTCGTGCACGTGCACGAGAGCGACCCCAACGTCCTCGCCGTCGTCAGCGTCATGATCCGCCTGCAGCGCCACGACGAGGCCTTCGCCTGGGTCGACACGTGAGTGCTTAATGAAACCAAATACTTGCTTCCTCAACTTTCTGAGTTTTTTTCCACGAGTTCTGCGCATCAACTGTTTCTGCTCACATTTCCAACAGCTCCCCCTTCCCCATCGACATTCCCGACAACTTCTGGGCTGACATGATCGACATGTCCATGGGCTTCTGGCGCTACCCCGGCTCGCTCACCACCCCCGACTGCAACGAGATCGTCGAGTGGCGCGTCGTGTGCAAGGCCAAGTTCCTCTCCGTCGCCCACATAATTAAATATAACGAACACACTGTACACTACACATCACAATTGTTGGAGGTTGCGTGGGGCGGTTTTGCCCCCAACCACCAAGCGGTGCTGTTTTTAGTGCTCACCTTCGAGTGAGTTGCAGGTTTGCGTGGGATTGAAGTTTGACTTCGGAAGACTCCACCAATTCGGTGCCACATGGCAACATCAGGAACATTCAAGATTGAAGGAGCATTCGGTGAAATTCGAGTACCGAATTTCACCCCGTTTGAAATGTTACACGAATGTTCGCGACACATCTCATAGTGACTAGATGTTACATGCGCGACTCGATGTATTGAGTAGTTATAAATATGCTCGCCTTGTTTGCATGTTTCATACTGAAAATCAGAGTTTCCTATACACAGTTCAACTCGACACAAATTCCAGAGAGCATCCTATCCTTCAACCTAGAGCATAGCTTTCACGTTAGAGGCCATAACTCACTCGATACTTAGGCGATCGACGCAATTGACGGCTCGTTGGAAAGCTAAGACAGAGCTCTAGTGATTAGTACAAATCCTAGTTCATGCAAATTAGAGGAGAGTCCTTTACAACAGTGGTATCAGAGCTGTTCGGAGGAGTCTACGCGCGCAACAAGAAGCTAGCATGCCGACGTCAAGCGAGGCCTCCCGCAATTCCTTGGATGGTGTCGTTGTACATTCCGGCGAACCCTGGGCAATCGCGACGATGTTCGACACGTCGGCGGTACCGATTTTCACGGGACAAAACTACTCCGCGTGGAAGTTAAGTTCCAAGTGCTCATGATGGAGCGGGGACTTTGGGGTTTCTTCGATGGAACGGAGAAGAAGCCGGACAACGAGAGCGACATCGCGGCATGGAAGAAGAAGGACCAAAAGGCGTTCGCTACGTTGATTTCACGCATCGGCATCAATCTCGTGAGCTCGGTGCGCATGTGCATCATGCTCAAAGCGACGGCGCATGAAGCGTGGAAGCGGCTCGAGACGATGCACGTGAACAAGACTCTCCACGGCAAGATCCTAGCCCAGAATGCGTCCTACACGGTGAATATGTGCGCGGGCGGATCGATGCACGAGTATGCAACTCGTGTGGAGGAACTCGGGGAAACGTTCATGGACCTCGGTGGAACGGTCACGAAGGAGGATTGGATTTTGACCTTGCTATGCGGCCTTCCGGAAGAGTGGTCGACGGTGATTACGACACTCGATAGCGTGCAAGACACTTGGACGAAGGAAATGGTGGTCGGTCGGCTTCTCCATGAAGAATCGCGTCGCCGTCAATTCGCTAATGAGAGCGAGGGTGCCGCCATGTTCTCCGGAGGGAGTTCCGGAAAGAAGTTCACGTGGAGCAAAGGTGCGACAAAGAAGTCGTCCGGTGGAAGCGATCGCGGCAAGGGAAACACATCGAATGGCTCGAGCAAGTGCCACTATTGTGGCAAGGCGGGACACTTTTGGCGTGAGTGTCGGAAGCGCCCGAGCGATTGGACTCCATCGAAGGCGCGGAACCACGAGGGCAACGCGCACATGGCATCCGGCGATGCGGATGATTCAAGGGAGTCGATCGTATTATTGGCCGGTGACGGGACCAACACACCAAGCGACGCATGGTTCCTCGACACCGGCGCAACACGACACATGACGCACTCAGCATCGTTCCTCACCAACGTTGTGTCAAAATGTTATATAGCTTATATTGTGTAGGCTATACTGGGGTAGCCCATAAGGGGTACAACCCAATTAGGGTTAGTACTTGTACCCAACTCTTTGCTAGTTCATTCATTCTCGTTCTTTATTCTGATATGGTTTCAGAGCAGGTCCTCCGCTAGGACCGTTTTTTTTTTTCCTGGGCCCACCACAGCGCTACCCCGCTAGCAGCCCTCTGCAGCCCTCGTGCTGCCCCTCCTTCAGGTCGCGACCCGTAGGCCCCTAGGCCCGTCGCCAACCCTAGCCCGGCCCGTTGCCCCTAGGCCCGTCGCCCCTAGCACGGCCCCGCGCCCCCCCCCCCGTCGCCCGTCGCCCCTAGCACGGCCCCGCGCCTCCCCGCCCCCCCCCCCCCCCCCCCCCCCCCCCCCGTCGCCCGTCGCCCCTAGCACGGCCCCGCGCCTCCCCACCCCCCCCCCCCCTCCCTGTCGCCCGTCGCCCCTAGCACGGCTCCGCCCCCCCCCTCCCCCGTCGCCCTCGTCCCTAGCACGGCCCCGTGCCCCCCCCCCCCTGTCGCCTGTCGCCCCTAGCACGCCCCCCCCACCCCCCCCCCCGTCGCCCATCGCCCCTAGCACGGCCCCGCGCCCCCCCCCCCCCCCGCCGTCGCCCATCGCCCCTAGCACGGCGCCCCCCCCCCCTCGTCGCCCTAGCCCCCCGGCCCCTCGGACCCTTTGCTCCTGGCCCCGCGGCCCCGTTGCCCTAGGCCCCCGGCCCCTCGGCCCCTTTGCTCCTGGCCCCGCGGCCCCGTCGCCCTAGGCCCCCGGCCCCTCGGCGGCCCCCTTTGCTCCTGGCCCCGCGGCCCTGTCGCCCTAGGCCCCCGGCCCCTCGGCGGCCCCCTTTGCTCCTGGCCCCGCGGCCCCGTCGACCTAGGCCCACGGCCCCCCCTCGGCCCCTTCTCACTAGGCCCCACGGCCCAAATCCCCTAGGCCCCCGGCCCCTCGGCCCCTCCTCTCCTGGCCCCGCGGCCCGACGCCCCTAGGCCTTCGCCCCCTCGGCCCCTCTGCTGCTGCTCCTACTGCTACTACTGCTACTGCTGCAACTGCTACTGCTACTGCTGCTCCTGCGTGCTGCGCCACTATGGCTTCGCTTCGAGTTCTCGCGTTCGATCATGAGGGCAGACCGGTTCAGTTTGACACGTGGCTCGACGACCTGCAGCTGTACCTACTGAGCGATTCTAAGGACAGTGTGTCGATGTTTGACCTCGCGTCAGGTGCGGCTACCGCCCCTCCCACCACAGCTGACAGTGCGACTCGCTCACAGTGGCTTACTCGCGACGCTACTGCCCGCTTAGCCATTCGCAACCACCTGCCATTAGCCGAATGCGCTCACTTCGGACAACACAGGCCCTGTACGACGCTGTAGTCGCTCGCTACTCCTCGCCTGCCACTGCTGCGCTAGGCCGACTGCTATTGCCCTACCTGTTCCCCGAGCTGTCAGCTTTTGCCACAGTAGAGGACCTGGTTTCCCATCTACGCACTAGCGACGCTCGCTACCGCGCTACCGTCCCTGCTGAGTTCCTTGACAGGAACCAGCCCCCGATGTTCATCACCTTCTACTTCATAGTCACTCGCCTCCCTGACTCTCTTTGCTCTGTCAGTGACCACTTTCTCTCCCTTAACCCCACCTCCCTCACTGTTGACCTCCTCGAGCAGCATCTCCTCGCAGCTGAGACTAGTGCAGTTGCCGTAGGTGCTGCTCGTGGCACTCCGCGCCCGCCCTTCTTTGAGGGGTGCTCCCCCTCCCCCCTTGCCCCCTCCTACGCCTCTGCTGCTGCAGACGTCTCTGTTGCTGAGGACGTCGGGGCTGCTTCTGCTAGTGCGAAGCGCCGCAGCAGCAAGGGCAAGGGTGGCGGGGGTGGTGGAGGTGGCAGCGGTGGTGGTGGAGGTGGCAGCGGGAGTGGTGGTGGGGGCAGCAGTGGAGGTGGTGGCGGCTGTGGGACTGGTGGCGGGAGTGGGGGCTCTAGTGGCGGCGGTGGAGGCAGCGGTGGGAGTGGCGGCAGTGGAGGCGATGGGACTGGTGGCGGTAGGACTGGACCTCGGCGTGGAGGCCCTAGTGGTGGCCAGCGGCAGCAGCAGCAGCGTCGGAGCGAGACCCAGTCGCCCTAGCAGCTCCGTGAGTGGTTGTTTCAGCGTGGGACATCTGGGGGTAGTGATAGCTGCCCGTATGTCATTCGCACAGGTGACCGTGCTGGTCAGACATGCGGGAAGCTTCACACTCAGCACCGCTGCTTCTCCAGCCTCGACGCCGCCTTGCATGCTGAGTTTGGTGACGAGGTCGAGCGCCCTCGCTGGGCAGATTTGCTTAGGTATGGTGTTGCTATCTTTGACCTAGACTTTGATGTTATCCTTTCTGCTATGTATGCTTTGTCTGCTAGTGCTGAGGGTGACTGTTATCGGTGTGAACTGGTCTTGGGACATGTTCTCAACGAGCAGCAAACTTATTCAGGCTTAAAGCAAAAGATAGACAGTAAAACCCTTCTGTAAAACTTAGATCTCAACAATCCGAGCTCAAGAACTTCAGCAGTAGAGTAAAACAAACATGTTTCGGCCGTTAAGGGGCTACCCTAGCAGGCCTTCATCAGTGCTAATGAAAGAAACAGAGCTAAGCTACGCTTCAAGAAGAAACGAAGCCTCAGAAAAACTGATCTCTAGGTTATCTACACCAGGTCAGCCCGAAATACGGGGACCAGTACATGTCACCCTTGAAAAATTCTCAGGTGGCCACGTCCTCAATCCTTGGAGCGTCGTCGTTGAAGTTCGAATTCGCATCTTCGCCAGGCAGCAACTGTGAAATTCGCGCGCGTGGAGGTGGCAGCGGGAGTGGTGGTGGGGGCAGCAGTGGAGGTGGTGGCGGCTGTGGGACTGGTGGCGGGAGTGGGGGCTCTAGTGGCGGCGGTGGAGGCAGCGGTGGGAGTGGCGGCAGTGGAGGCGATGGGACTGGTGGCGGTAGGACTGGACCTCGGCGTGGAGGCCCTAGTGGTGGCCAGCGGCAGCAGCAGCAGCGTCGGAGCGAGACCCAGTCGCCCTAGCAGCTCCGTGAGTGGTTGTTTCAGCGTGGGACATCTGGGGGTAGTGATAGCTGCCCGTATGTCATTCGCACAGGTGACCGTGCTGGTCAGACATGCGGGAAGCTTCACACTCAGCACCGCTGCTTCTCCAGCCTCGACGCCGCCTTGCATGCTGAGTTTGGTGACGAGGTCGAGCGCCCTCGCTGGGCAGATTTGCTTAGGTATGGTGTTGCTATCTTTGACCTAGACTTTGATGTTATCCTTTCTGCTATGTATGCTTTGTCTGCTAGTGCTGAGGGTGACTGTTATCGGTGTGAACTGGTCTTGGGACATGTTCTCAACGAGCAGCAAACTTATTCAGGCTTAAAGCAAAAGATAGACAGTAAAACCCTTCTGTAAAACTTATATCTCAACAATCCGAGCTCAAGAACTTCAGCAGTAGAGTAAAACAAACATGTTTCGGCCGTTAAGGGGCTACCCTAGCAGGCCTTCATCAGTGCTAATGAAAGAAACAGAGCTAAGCTACGCTTCAAGAAGAAACGAAGCCTCAGAAAAACTGATCTCTAGGTTATCTACACCAGGTCAGCCCGAAATACGGGGACCAGTACATGTCACCCTTGAAAAATTCTCAGGTGGCCACGTCCTCAATCCTTGGAGCGTCGTCGTTGAAGTTCGAATTCGCATCTTCGCCAGGCAGCAACTGTGAAAGTCGCGCGCGTACCAGTAACCTGTTAAGGTTACAACCAATTTGCCATGCAACAAAAATCCTCTCCACATATAATCCGCGTGTAGTGAGTCGATTTTTGAGTCGACTCAAAAGGACCCCTAGCCCGAGACGAGAAGACACCGAAGTGTACTGCGTCTTCAGAACTAGGGGTCCACGGGATGGGAGAGAAATCTGTTGCCGGAGCGCCTGGTTAGCGATGGTAGTGGCGAGGAGTGACGAACGGTGAGCGAAGGCGACGCCTTGGAAGATTGGGTGCAGAAAAGCAGGAGGGTAACCACGGTCACGAAGCCGGCCGAAGAAAGCCTTCTTCGTTGCGAGGAAAGTCGCAGCTGATGTAGAGCGGAGCAGGTACCGCTTCAATTCTGCACGAATGAAGGATTCCTTGCAGTGCCATGGGTGGAAGGAAGCAAAGGGAAGATAGAGATACTTATTCATCGGCTTCTGAAACGTGCCGAAATCCAAAGTACCCTGCTCCTTAAACCGCAGTCCCTTGAAGAGAACCACGTCCAAAAAATCGATGGAGCAGTCCGAAACAGACCATGTGATCCGAATGTTTGGATCAAGCTCATTGAAGGTGCGCAGGTAGGCTTCCAAATCTGCCCGCGTCCCCGGCCATACGATTAGACCATCATCGATGTAGCGCACATGGTAAAGAGGTAACGTTCCGGTCCACTTCCCCTTCAGTAACTCATCCAGGCGGCTCATGAACAAGATCGCGAAGCAGACTGCTACAGGTGTACCCATGGCGGTGCCTCGTAGTTGGTGAAAGATCCGGCCGCCGAACTCGACAAAAGAGTTCCTCATGACCCAACCCAGAAGGGCCATGAGAGGTGGGGTGAGTTGCGGTTTCTCCCTCATCAGAAAACTGCTGACCGCATCAAGACCGCGCTCGATCGAAATGCTGGGGTAGAGAGCGGCTACATCATACGTCGCTAGAAGTACCGTCGTCGGAAACGTGGTGCGTTCGAGCGTTGTCAGCAGAGAGAGAGAATCCTGGAGGTACGTAGGACGATTCAAGACCAGCGGGCGAAGTTCAGCGTCAAGCCACTTGCTCACATTAGTCGTGGCCCATGAATGTGAGGCAGCGATCGGTCGCCCCACGGGTACTTTCTTGTGAAGCTTAGGCAAGACGTAGAACGCAGCTGGCCGCCATCCCCCGGGTGGTTCCTTAAAGAAATATTTCCAGAGACTGTCTGGAAAAGCCGGTCCCCACGTCACCTTCAACTCCCGCAGCTGCTGCAGAACCCGTGGCGTCGGGTCGCGTTCAATCGGCTGGTACACTTCCGCATCTCCGAGATGTTCCATACAAAGGTCGATGTAGTGCTGCCGATCAAGGATAGTGACGCTAACGTTCTTGTCTGCAGGTTTGATGACGATGCTGCGGTCGGCGGCGAGGGAGCGCAACGCCTTGCGAATTCCTGATGAGATATTGAAATCCCGCCGTGGCGTCGTCGCTTTCAGAAGGTAAGAGAGGTCGTTGTGGGCCTCCCTGAACACCGACTCCGGGACAACATCCCGATCGGGTTTCCAATCTGGGTTTCCGAACCGAAGAAGCGCGAGATCCCGCGCCGTTACTTCTTCTTTGGCGGCCCGTTTGCGGGGCCGCCGCCTCCGTTTTTTGGAACCCAGGCCTGCTTCGGTGCTGTTTGGCCCTTCCCCTTGCCGTCGGTAGGAGCGTCAGATTTCTTCTTTTTCCCCCGCTTCTTCTTTGCCTTGTTGTTATGGGGCTTAGAGTCAGCGGCGGTGGCCGACGGAGAGACCTTCTTCTCCAACGCAATCTTCTAAAGCTTCGCAGATAGCTCTTTGTCCAGCTTCGCCGCAAACTCCTTGCGAAGCCGATCTTCGACCTTCTTTACGTGCTTCTGAACGATTGCGTCGACCGTCGGATCCAACTCCATTCTGTCGATCTCCTCAGCCGCGGCAGCTTTCTTCAAATCTTCAGCTTCACGTTTTTTCTGCCGTTCCAACTCCTGGATGATGATCTCATCCCTGGCGATGGCTATGTCGGACTGCGCCTTCTCGATGCAGGCGCCCTTGATCTTCCTGTACTTCTCCCTGGTAGCATCAGATACCGCCAGGTCAGGGTTCTCCAAGAGACTTTTCAGGTAGTCCTCAAGCTTTGTCGCCAGAGTCGTCACGTGTAGGTTAGAAGCTGCCAAAATCTCCTCGACCTCCATCTCCTTCGAAGCGATGAAGTCCTTCTGGATACGCTTTTGATTCTCCAGATGAACAGCAGCAACCGAAGCTGCAGACTTCTCCCGAACAGAAGGGTATTTCGTCTGGAACTCAACTGCTTTGGTGCGAATACTGTGAAGAAACACACCCTGCTCATCAAGCGTCTTCATCTTCTGAAGCTTGGACTTCACCTTCAAGAGTGATTTGAAATCCGCCCGAAAACCCTTGACCGCCAAAGCAGTCCAGCCTTTAAAGCGCTCAGGAATGTTGAACTGCTCAGGAACAGCCGGGTTAGCGCTCGTAGAAGCAACAGCAGGTGCTACCGTAGGAGCAGCGTTCGAAGCGGGATTCATCTCCATGGCGGGAGGAGAAATTGTTTGCTCGTTGTGCGATGTCAGTCCGCGAGTCGGTGCAGTACGATTTGCTCCTTCAAGTTTGCGAAGGCGTTGTCGCTTGTGCGTGCGATACCCCGCGTAAGTCTTGGGAACAACTGCCTCGTGGATCACAATAGCAAAACTGCCCTCGTTAAGTTCGGCGTCGTCTGAGTCAAGCGTAAGTGCCAACTGGTCTTGGGACATGTTCTCAGCGAGCAGCAAACTTATTCAGGCTTAAAGCAAAAGATAGACAGTAAAACCCTTCTGTAAAACTTAGATCTCAACAATCTGAGCTCAAGAACTTCAGCAGTAGAGTAAAACAAACATGTTTCGGCCGTTAAGGGGCTACCCTAGCAGGCCTTCATCAGTGCTATTGAAAGAAACATACTAAGTTACGCTTCAAGAAGAAACGAAGCCTCAGAAAAACTGATCTCTAGGTTATCTACACCAGGTCAGCCCGAAATACGGGGACCAGTACATGTTGTCAGAATGTTATGTTTGTCTAGCCTGCAGTGGGGTACTCAATAGCGAGTACAGCCCAATTTACGGTTTCCTATATGTACTCAACTGCCTGCTATTGAAACCTCTCTTTCTCGTTTCTAACTTTCAACTGTTATTCCAACACATGTCACCCTTGAAAATTTCTCAGGTGGCCACGTCCTCAATCCTTGGAGCGTCGTCGTTGAAGTTCGAATTCGCATCTTCGCCAGGCAGCAACTATGGAAGTCGCGCGCGTACCAGTAACCTGTTAAGGTTACAACCAATTTGCCATGCAACAAAAATCCTCTTCACATATAATCCGCGTGTAGTGAGTCGATTTTTGAGTCGACTCAAAAATCGACTCACTACATGCTGAGGGTGACTGTTATCGGTGTGTGCCACCTCACCCAGGTATAGCGGCTGCTGCTCTAGGTGCTAGTGAGTCTGGTACTCTCCCTAGTACTGCGCCTGCTCAGGCCTTGCACACCTTCACGTTGGACTCAGGCGCCTCACGCTGTTTCTTTCGTGACAGCACCACCCTCACTCCTCTCCTTGCACCTGTCCCGGTCAGACTGGGTGACCCCTCTAGGGGCCCGGTCGTTGCCCGTTCCTCCACTGTCCTCCCGTGTCCGGCGGTTCCGTCCGGCTCACTGTCAGGTCTTCACCTCCCCTCGTTCTCTACGAACTTGGTGAGTACCGCTGCCCTCCTGGATGCGATGGTCACTACCACCACTCTTGGGGGTCAGCATGTGTCGATCTGCACATGCACATGGACGGGGCGTCACTTGGCCACCTTCACTCCTCGGCCAAGGTCGAGTCTGTACACACTCACTACCAAGCCTCCTCAGGTAGCTGCGTCTGCTCAGGTGTCTGCGTCAGGTCAGGTAGCCGCCTCTTGCTCGTGTCGCCTCCTGTCGCACCAGAACCTTCTGTGGCACCACCGCCCGGGTCACCCCTCCCTGCCACGCCTTCGTGGCATGCACTCCCGTCTTCTGGTCTCTGGTCTACCCAGGTCTCTGCCTTCCTTCTCGCCCTCGCCTGCCCCGCCATGCCTTCCTTGTGTCGAGGGGCGGCAGCGCACCGCTCCTCACTCCTCCTCGTTCCCCCCGACGACTGCTCCCCTGCAGACTCTCCACGTGGACGTGTGGGGCCCAGCCCGCGTCAGTGGACAGGGCCGCGAGCGCTACTTTCTGCTGGTAGTTGACGACTACACGCGGTACACCACGGTCTTCCCCTTGCGCAGCAAGGGTGAGGTCGTTGATGTCTTGATCCCTTGGATCCGCACAGTCCGTCTCTAGCTCCGCGAGTGGTTCGGCCAGGACATTCCTGTCCTGCGTCTGCACTCTGACAGAGGTGGTGAGTTCTCCTCCAACCTCTTGCGGGACTTTTGTCGTGGGGAGGGCATTCTCCAGTCATTCACGCTTCCGGACTCCCCTCAGCAAAATGGGATTGCTGAGCGCCGCATTGGCTTAGTCATGGAGGTCGCTCGTACCTCCATGATCCATGCGGCTGCTCCCCATTTTCTGTGGCCGTTTGCGGTCCGGTACGTTGCGCATCAGCTCAACCTCTGGCACCGTGTCTTCTTACCGGAGACCTCGCCCACACTGCGTTGGACGGGGGAGGTTGGCGATGCGTCCGTGTTCCGGGTCTGGGGTTCTCGTGCCTTTGTTCGCGATACGTCCGCGAACAAGCTCTCCGCCCGTGCTATCCCCTGCGTCTTCCTTGGCTTTGTCCCAGACGCGCCTGGCTGGCAGTTTTACCACCCCACCTCGCACCGTGTCTTCCCTTCTCAGGACGTCACGTTTGACGAGTCGGTTCCCTTTTACCGTCTCTTCCCCTACCGCTCTGCCCCTCCCCCGCCCCCGCCGCTCTTCCTTGCTACCGGTCCCCCTCCGGTAGACCCCCTCCCGCCCCAGGGTCCTGCTCCCTCAGGTGTGTCTCAGGTAGACCCTCTCCCTTGTACTGTGCCTGTCGAGGTAGCTGTCGGCTCAGGTGCTGCTCGAGGTGCTGCGACTGGGGGTGCTGCGTCTGGGGGTGCAGAGCCGGGGTGTGCGGAGTCTGAGGGTGCTGGGTCTGGGGGTGCTGAGCCTGGGGGTGAGGAGCCTGGGGGTGCTGAGCCTGAGGGTGTTGAGCCTGGGGGTGGTGAGTCGTTGGGTGCGGAGTCTGGGGGTGCTGAGCCTCGGGGTGCTGCTTCGTCTGGAGGTCCTGCTGGTGCTTCGCCGCGACTGTCTCCGCAGCACCTGCGTGAGTGGCTTGTTCGGCGCGCACACCTTCGGAGTGGAGCTACCGGAGCTGGAGGCGCTGGAGACGCTGGAGCTGGAGGTGCTGGAGTTACTGCTGGAGCTAGTGGTACTGGAGGTGCTGCGGCTGCTGGTCCTGGAGGTGCTCGTACCAGGGGTGCTAGAGCTGCCGGGACTGGTGGTGCTGGAGCTGGAGGAGTTGGAGTTGGAGGCACTGGCGCGGGAGGCGCTGGAGCTACAGGAGCTGGAGCTGTTGACCCTAGAGCTGGAGGTGCTGGAGGCACTATGCGGCCGTGACCGTACTTCGTTCCCCTGCTTCAGCAGGTTCTTGGTGTCCCGTCTTCTACCAGCTTTACTCCTCCCCTCCTGTGTCCACCGCCTGACCAGTCGCAGCCGCCGTTACTGTCAGCCTCCCCACTGCCTGCTCCTTCTCCTTACACTGAGCAGTCCGGCGGTCTTACAGAGCGTCGTGAGCCTGCATCTCGTCTTGTCTTGCCTGTTCGCACTGCTCGTCGCGTTCCTCGTTCGCGTCCTCCTCCTGTCCCTGGCACGCACGCTATGGCACTCCGTCCTTCCTCTGTTCCACTGCGTGTTCCTCTGCCTGCTCCTCATGAGTCCTCTCTTCCTGAGGTCCCTGACCCTGAGTCTGACTGCGCTCGTGCAACCAGTCCCACTGTCTCTCGTCTCCTCGCCACTGCTGTCACTGACCCTTCTTTTGAGTCTGCTACTGCGTCTGCTCTCCTTGCTAAGCTGCTTGACTTTGCTGCTGCCTGCCGTCTAGACTACGCCACTGCTCTTGTTGCTGAGTCTGAGTCTGCCAGTCCTCCGTCCGTCGGGGGTGAGTGTGCTCTTGGCACGGACGTCCTTGAGGACAGGCAGGAGGACTTTGAGTGTCTTGCAGCTGTTGTACCTCGTTTCGCTTCCATGCTGCTTGCCCCTGAGGGAGACCTGGATGCACCAGACATCCCGACCCCACGCTCTTACGCAGAGGCGATTACGGGTCCTTACTCCTCTCAGTGGCAGGCAGCCATGGATGCCAAGATGGCATCCTGGAAGTCCACAGGCACCTACGTCGACGAGGTTACCCCACCTGGGGCGAACATAGTCGATGGCATGTGGATTTTCAGGGTGAAGCGGCCGCCGGGTTCTCCGCCTGCCTTCAAGGCGCGTTATGTTGCTCGAGGCTTCAGTCAGCGACAGGGGGTCGACTACTTTCCGACCTTCTCTCCCACCCCGAAGATGACTACTCTTCGGGTGTTGCTGCACGTCGCTGCTCAGCGTGACTACGAGATGCACTCTCTGTACTTCAGTACAACTTTCTTGCAGGGCAGCCTGCATGAGGAGATCTGGCTGCGCCGCCCACCTTGCTTCACTGGGTCGTTTCCTGCAGGTACCCAGTGGAGCCTCCGCCGGCCAGTCTACGGTCTTCGCCAAGCGCCTCATGAGTGGCACGACACACTGAGGACTACCCTTGCGGCTCTTGGGTTTGCTCCTGCTACTGCTGACCCGTCGCTGTTTCTACACACCGACACGTCGCTGCTGACGTTCTACGTCGACGACCTCGTCTTTGCCACTGTTGACACTGAGGCATTGACCCTTGTGAAGTCGGAGCTGCAGAATAGACACACCTGCACTGACCTGGGTGAACTGCGCAGCTATCTTCGCTTGCAGATCACCCTGGACAGAGCACGGCGCACCATCACCCTGACTCAGTCACACATGGTGCACCAGGTCCTTCAGCGCTTCGGCTTCCAGTTCTCCTCGCCACAGCCCACTCCTCTCTCTACCAGCCACTCACTCTCAGCTCCACCTTCGGACGAGTCCGTAGAGCCGATTGGTCCGTACCCAGGGCTTGTGGGTTGCCTCATGTACCTGATGACGTGCACACGACCTGATCTCGCGTACCCTCTTAGCCTCCTGGCTCGCTACTTGAGGCACCGAAAGGTGCACTGGGATGCTGCAAAGAGGGTACTGCGTTACTTGTGCAGTACGTCGGGCATGGGGCTCGTGCTTGGAGGGCGGGGTCCTGTTGTCCTCACCGGTCACGCAGAAGCTTCCTGGGTTGACGACTAAGCTACGCAGCAGTCGTCACAGGGTTACACCTTCAGCCTTGGCTCTGGCTCTATTTCCTGGCGGTCTACCCGCTCGTCTTCGGTTCTCAGCTCCAATTGTGAGGCTGAGATCTACGCCGGGGCCATGGCTGCACAGGAGCTACGCTGGCTCACCTACCTGCTGACTGACTTGGGAGAACAGCCTCGTTCGCCT